ATCTTTCTGCTAGCAATACTATACATAAAGATAATTGGTTTGGCCTAATTTAAAATAATTTATCAAAATTATGTTTATTCATAAAAAGAGATTTTGAATTCATATGAAAATTTTGTCTTTTGATATCATTGTGTCCAGTGACCTATAGAGACTTAGGGTTGAAATATAATGGTGAACTAATAAAGAATATGTCAGAAGTCGTACCATCTTTTCTTTTTATCAAAAGATCAAGTTAAAACCTTTTATTCTGCTTTTAAATGGACTAATCTGATTAAATCGGATTATAGGAACAATCGACCACCTCTGGAACTAAGATCTTTACCAGGTCTACTGTATTCTTTGTAGTTTAAGCATACTGCTAGCCTTGTAAATATACATTCAAATGAAAAACAGTTGACTTCGTTTTATTGAATATCAGTTGATGATACCTGTAGTTTTTGTAACAAATGAATCTATAACTTTGAAATAGTGTAGTAATCTTCAAAACTGAAGTCCTGATCATGAGAATTGACTGAAAAATTTATCGCTTTGGTCACTTTCCTGTTCAATTTGATAATTGTATATTTCAATAAAATGTAAAAGATATGAGGTCAATATATGGTCTTCAACACATTAGACAAGTGTCTTAACAATATGTTTAGCTCTGAATCCCACTGAGTCTGGACAAGTTGTGAATAAATATAATAGATCTCTAGACAATTGAACAGACAAAAACGTCAAAACATCAAGATTCCAGCACAGGAATCCTGACTTTGGGGCAAGCACATTGACCTGTGGAGGTGTTAATTTAATCTTAATCAGTTGAATATTGGAAATGAAAAGCGCATAGAAGAATGACAGATAAAATCAGTTTAGAAAAAAACCTACTTTATTACACTGGTTTCAAAGAGAACAAAGATACTGTAACTAAGTCAATTGATATTAACCCCAAAAATACCAGACACAATAATTTAACAATAACTGTAAAATTGTGACCTTTTTCAATAAATCTATGAACCCAGTTTGAAAGATAAGTAAGAAAATTCTTAAACTTCTTTGCTGATTATACTTTTTTTTTGAATGCTTATATCTCATCAGTAGTCCTTGTAGCCAAAAATTGTTTATTGGCTCTGGTTGTCATATTGAGAGAATGGATAAAAATCATAATGCACATGCAGAGGAAATATTATCTGCAGGTCTTATTTTTATCTATGAAAGTTTTCCAGGTGTTTCTTTGAGTTTAAGTAATCTCGTTTCCTTCTATAATGTCAGAGAGAGATTTCAAAGAGATACAGTTACACCTGTGAATGAAGTGGTATTTGTTTTAATTGTGATCTGTTCATTATGAAATTGCCATGGCATATGGAATTGTAGCACTTATTTCAGACACATAGCTCTGGAGTGATCATGCTTGAAAACAGTGTCACGAAAATGGCTCCAGTAGGACAGAATTATAAGACAATTAGCATGTGTTAGAATAATAAACTGACTTTACAACCTGTCATGAGATGAGCCATAATCCTGCCTTTATTCCCATACAATCTCTCATCCTATTCCAATGTCCATATTTTACATGCTGTTGTCCTTAAGGGAGTGATAAAAGTGTGAAACATCCCCACATTAAGTCAATGTATAGTATTTCAAAGCTTTATCAACATGTTATCAATGATAATTAGCAATTCTAATGACCACAGATAAGTCATTATATACAGCTCTTTATAATGAATGAATTTGATAATGGGAATATTTTATGGAAAATGTCAATGCATGTTCAAATTTAAAGCACCATCTTTTATTATTAAGGATCTTAAATGGAGCTTATTGCCTCTGCTGCTTTAATCAGATAAGTATTTTCAAATTTTGGTGATAATAATGAATCCTGTGAACATGTATTAGATACACCAATGAAGGTGTTAGCTCAATTTGGTGTATTTAATTTACACCAAGTTAGAAAAATATTATGGTCAATGAAAATGATAGATTTCAATAAATTGGAAGGGGGTTTTCAGCATTTTGATCATGAAATACACGATAAATGCAGGATATCTAATTACATTTAATGACATCTTGTTGTAAGTATATAAGTAAGGGTGGGGAGAAGTTATGTTGAGTGGATTTATAGGAGGTACTTTCATTAACCAATTAAGTTTGTTTGTTTTGCTCTCCAAATTTTGTCAATAGAACAGAACTATAAACAACTGTCATAGAAGTGGAGGGTTTATTTAGCTATTAAACCAGGTTTAACCCACCATTTTCCTTGGAAAATGCCTGTTCATAGTCAGGAATATGACAGTTGTTTTCCATTTGTTCCATCGTTTGATATAGTCTAACATTTGATTTTGTCAGGACATTATTTTTGTCTCACCCATTGGGTGCATTTGTTATAAGTGTCTGGCAAAATAAAATGGAAGTACAATGACATTTCAACTAGGTACTCACCCAAAGTATATTCTATGTGGAATTTTTATGGAAAACTTAATTATTTAATTTCTCATTGTTAAAATTGAATCTTTTGAAGAAGTAAATTATATTTTCAGGTTAACTAGCTGATTTACTTATTTAAAGACTTTAAATAAAGTGTTAAAAGGACATAATTAAATTCAAACAGTGACAAGTATACACCATTGATATGTCAAGCTAATCAAGCTAAGATGATAACTCAATAGTAAAAGGCCATCTTAACTTTAGATAGCTATAAAACATGGTAAATAAACATATAAATACCTATATCACTAAAATGGAAAAGTAAATTTACCTCATACTTTTATCAGTGAAGGATAAAATTGATTTCTGTGCACCCACATAATAACTCAGCTGATAAGTTTAAAAGGGCGAGAGGTATTATCATAAAGATAAAGAGATGCAGTTTAAGTTGTGGGAAATAAAATAGTTTCAAAATTTCTATAACTAGAATGTAATATTTTGATATAGTGGCAAATCCAGGCTCAGAGGAAAGGGGGGCGTAATAGTGCAAAATGTAAAAAATTTGCTGAGGGTAGCAAGGCAAAAAATTTTCAGGTCAAAGGCATCACCCCCCTCTACACCCATCTCCTCCTCACTGAGTCTGCCACTGGAATACTCCCCTATTTTTGCAATAGAAGAAGGCTTTGTAAGAAATTGATGTAGTACATTGTACTAATATCTTGTTCATTTAGTCTTCATTGCTTTATCTGTTGGTTTATGCATTGAAAGGAAGATAGATGTGGTTCTGTAATTATGAATTTCCAATGTCAACAGACATGTATGACAGTCAGCAATTCAAAGTGTGAAGCAAGTGTTTGCTGTTGTTTTCACATGTTCTTTTTTAGCTCACCTGGCCCAAAGGGCCAAGTGAGCGTTTCTCATCACTTGGTGTCCGTCGTTCGTGGTCCTACGTCCGTCGTCCGTAAACTTTTACAAAAATCTTCTCCTCTGAAACTACTGGGCCAAATTTGACCAAACTTGGCCACAATCATCATTGGGGTTTCTAGTTTTAAAAATGTGTCCGGTGACCCGGCCAACCAACCAAGATGGCCGCCATGGCTAAAAATAGAACATAGGGGTAAAATGTAGATTTTGGCTTATATCTCTGAAACCAAAGCATTTAGAGCAAATCTGACATGGGTAAAATTGTTTATCAGGTCAAGATCTATCTGCCCTGAAATTTTCAGATGAATCTGACAACCCGTTGTTGGGTTGCTGCTCCTGAATTGGTAATTTTAAGGAAATTTTGCCGTTTTTGGTTATTATCTTGAATATTATTATAGATAGAGATAAACTGTAAACAGCAATAATGTTCATCAAAGTAAGATCTACAAATAAGTCAACTTGACCAAAATGGTCAGTTGACCCCTTAAGGAGTTATTGCCCTTTATAGTCAATTTTTAGCCATTTTTCGTAAATTTTTGTAATCTTATACAAAAATCTTCTCCTCCAAAACTACTAAGACAAATTTAACCAAACTTGTCCATAATCATCATTAGGGTATATAGTTTAAGAAATGTGTCTGATGACCCTGCCTGCGAACCAAGATGGCCAACATGGCTAAAAAATAGTACATAGGGTAAAATGCAGTTTTTGGCTCATATCTCTGAAACCAAAGCATTTAGAGCAAATCTGACATAGGGTTAAATTGTTCATTAGGTCAAGATCTATCTGCCCTGAATTTTTCAGACCAATCAGGCAACATGTTGTTGGGTTGCTGCCCCTGAATTGGTAATTTTAAGAAAATTTTGCAGCTTTTGGTTATTATCTTGAATATTATTATAGATAGAGATAAACTGTAAACAGCAATAATGTACAGCAAAGTAAGATCTACAAATAAGTCAACATGACCAAAATTGTCAATTGACCTCTTAAGGAGTTATTGCCCTTTATAATCAATTTTTTACAATTTTCATAAATTTTTGAAATTTTTGAAATTTTACAAAATATTTCCCACTGTAACTACTGGGCCAAGTTCATTATAGATAGAGATAATTGTAAACAGCAATAATTTTCAGTAAAGTAAGATCTACAAACACATCACCATCACCAAAACAAAATTTTGTCATGAATCCATCTGTGTCCTTTGTTTAATATGCACATAGACCAAGGTGAGCGACACAGGCTCTTTAGAGCCTCTAGTTCTAATCCCAAGTAGTTTATTCTACGTTATTATAAATCAGACTGTACTATTTGTACATATTTTCATAAAAAAAAGTTCAAACATGAAATACTTATGAAATAAGTACTTGAAGAAAGCAAGTATTAGAAACACCCATGAGGGCGTTTGCCAGATTGGGTCTATCTTATTTACACCAATATATTTTAATTAATGTAAAAAGGATAGATATTTATAATTTAGTATGGGGTCTTTCCCCAATTTGAACTTATTTCATGGTAGAACATGATGAATGCAGGATATTTAATGACATTTAATGACATCATACTGTAAGTTCAACTTCAATATAGATGGTTATTTTGGTTTATTAATAATCCTACAGATCTGTTTAAGAACTTTTGAATAAGAGTTAATAATGTTCTTTATTTTATACTTGCAGTACTGAAGGTGCCCACACAAGATTAGCATCCGGAGCTGGTGATAACTCAGATGAAGCCGCCAACCAAGCAGACTTATATAAACTTGTACAACAAGGTGGGGACATACCAATACGAGGACTACAAAAGCCTGGACCAGACAAATCAGGAAGTAGGTTCATTCAACATTTTCTTATGACAGTCCCCCTCCCCCTTTTTTATTTATATTTGGTAGAGAAGATTACAAATTTATTTTTTAAGAATGTTTGAAGTGTGTATCAGTATGTATAATATAAATTTCATGACATTAATCCCAAGTATAAACTTTAAATCTATACACAAATAGGTTGTTTAAATGAAAAATCATAAACACCTTTTATTTAGATTTAATGCATAGACACATTTTAAACTCAGATGAATTCACATTACAAACAAGGAGAATACATTTGACACTGCAGGGTGACAACTTTGTACTATTTTCCTGGTATTACAAACCAGTTAACCTTCCAAGCTATCAGTGCACCTTACTGATGTTTCATATTTCTGCTTTTTGTTTTTTGTTATTCTGTTATGTTCAGCCTTATTTTTAAGACAGAACTTGGCTCATTTTGAAAATATTTACAAGGTAAAAGTTTAAATACATGAAATATAAAGTATTGAGATTTTTTCTATTTGTCATTGTGATCAAGTTCTGTCTTTTGTTTCCAGTTTCAATCCCTAGCATGTATATATTATGTTGTGCAAGTTGGAACATTCCTATGAATATATTAGATATAATTACATGTTTATTCAACCATCAAATCTGTGATATCATGTATATCATTTTGTGATGTAAATATATAAAATGTATGTAGGTTTCAGATCAGAGATATATGAAAATTTGATCTGATGCATTGGTACAAGGGTAGATATTAAAAATGATTGACCCAATTGCATTGTTGTATTATTTGATGAGGAGTAACTGGTATCCTGTTTTAGACCAGCAACCAGCAGCATATGTTACCATAGTAGTATAGCTCTTTATTTACAACATTTGTACAGTATATGATATCTATATAAAGACTTCACCCAGGATAACAATTTGTTTGTTTAGACTAAGGTCAGATACAATAGGAGACTTCAGATAGTACCTGAGATAAATAAATCATATAGATTTAAGTAAGGAGATGGACAATGTCAATAGTATTGATATCTTTATAATTATATTTGACCTTGAGTAAACTGCTTAAGTGTAAGGGAACTAACTCTAGAGATAAATGTTATTAAAAATGAACTATTAAATCATTCAAAGAAATTATGACTTTGCTGTTTTTAGGCATTGATAACTTTTTTTTCACTGTATTTGAATGTTGTTGATTATACTGTTGCACAGGTTCAGAAGTGGTCAAATGTCACTGTAAAACTTATTGCACTTTTATAAAATTGAAAAGTAGATATGTCAGAAATAATAATGATCTATTGGCATTGTTTTTTAAATGCAAAATTGAAACATTGTTTATTTGATACATTTTGGCGGAAAAGAATCATGTCTGATAAATTGACATTTACTACGACTTTTATCAATATTTTGGTGGTTTTTGAGTAGGATGAGGGATTATTACATTGTAAATTTTATGTCGTAAACTCATAAATTGTCAAGGTGTGGTTCATTTTCCTTTTTTTGAGAAGGTGAAAGCTTATTTAGACTGTACAGTTTCCAGGTAATGTTTTTATTTAAATTTTGACAGAAAAATGTGCAGTTATATATGTTTTAACATTTAACTTCATTATTTTTAGACATTATACATTTTTCTTTAAAAATTTTTGATGAATTAGTTGAACAAAACCAGCTAACAGTACAATACCAGTATAAGAATTACAATTTTTGTTTTTAAATAATTGAAAATATCTGGGATGGCTTGAAATCCTTGACTCTGAGGACTCCTTGGAAAATAAATTGTAGGTTTAAAAAAAAAAAGATGCTGAATGTTGTTAGACTCTTGCTTAATTTATTTATTTTCAATGCAGAAAAGATGATCACAAATATTTAATAGAAATATTTTGGAAATAAAAATAAATATATGTTATCACCAAACCTATGCTTTGTTGTCCTATATTTTATGTTGCTTCCTGCTTGTGATGTTGTATCTCCTAGGGATCACTGGTGCACTGGTAGAGACACTCTAAATTGTACAAAAATAAACCATTTTTAACAAAATCCTCTTTTGTAACTTCTCCAGATAATGAAAAGCAAACATGATAATCAGACGAAATTGACATTTCAATCTTGAACTTCCATTGTTTAGTATTGTGACCTAACATGATTGTATAATATGTCAACAACAACTTTATCAAATAGTCAAATGTGCAGATGAGGCTCAATGCAGAATGTTTTAATAACACAACTAACCTATTAACTAACTGCTTTCTTTCCAGATTCTAACCAGGAGTGTGTTCTAGTGCATTAGTGATCATATATTAACATTTTAAATTTTAACCAAAACATTAACAGAACTTACATGTAGTTACAAGTACATTTGTACTTTAGGCAAATATAGCTGACATAGTTTTAGTTTTCTGCATCCAATATGCTTGCTAGGTCCACCGCCCATTTGGAGGTCACCGGAGGAAGAATATCTAAGCTCAAAACAGATCAGAACCCAAAACAAATTGATAAATGCTCAAGTGCTGGTTATAAAAGGGAAAAGTGTAATTTAATCCCTGTAAGGAGCCCCGCATCTGCTGGGGATGCTCAGAGCATGGTATCAGGATTCAGTGGATTTCAGCCAGAATTACATTCTACACCCAAGTCATCAATTGTAGATAGCCATAGGCCTATTCAACAGCCGTGTGGTAAGCCAGATTTGTTAAATTCAGCTCCTAATCAGTCACATACAAATTATCTACAAAATGATAAAACCAAATTAGGTTTGATAAATACAGGGCATTGTAATGTATCATCATTGATTGAAAATAGACACAAATGTGACAAGGATTTAATAGAAAGTCCTAAAAAACAAAATAATAATATGGATTATCACACAATGACTGAAAATGTTCGAAAATTTGCTGGAAGTCCTAGTGCATTCCCGGAGTCAAAAGTAACTCAAAATATGGAGAATAAAGAATGGGATAATTTATTAGATGATGAACATAAAGGCTATGACAGGCCACCGAGTAGGGCTAAGTTATCCAGATCAGCAAGAGGGTCAGTAAGTAGTGAGAAGTCGTCTAGGTTAGATTCTCATACTTATCAGTCTTATACAGCTGGGCTTCTTCATTCAACGAGTCGATCAGAAAAGTTCTTAAATCTACAGAAAAACTATGCAATGCTAGAAAGGATATCAGAAATTGAAGAAAAAGCTGAAAAGCCAATAAGACCAAATAGTATGGATCCTCAAACATTCCAAGATATGTTTGATATTGTGAATACGAGTCGACAGGAGGAATTGGACGAGTTGTATTTTGAACTTGAGGAAGCTAAGAGAAATCGAGAATTTTTCAGTAGTGTCAAATCTCAGGCATGGGACCCAAGCAGGGATTATTCATTGACAAGGAAAGAAAAATCTGTGGGGGATTTGAAAGCACTCTATGCTGGGCTTGAAAATAATTCTGAGGAAAAGCCAGTTTTGTCGAAAGCAAAATCATTAGAGAGTACTTACGTGACAGGTCAATCTAATGAATGTTTTAATTCTTCATTGCAAGAACAAGTATATATTCAAAGCCCTCAAAGATCACCAAGGGGGGCAAGAGCAATACACGGAACTAGTATTGAACCACTAGCAAACAAGTATGAAATTTATGTTGAGAAAAAACAAAAGGAATATAAGGACACTCCAAACAATGAAGAGTTACATGTTAGATCTGTCTCTGTACCAGTCAATGAACTAGAAAGTCCCAAACCACTGAAAAGAGCTCATTCATCAATAGGTAACAAAATGGTTACCACTGTGGATTCTAAAATTTATGTAAAAGAGCCCAAGCTTTCAGTTAAACCAGAAAAGACTCAAATAAGACACGGAGGAAAAGTTATCGCTACATATGTCAACGACAGTGTGCAAGGAGTGAATTTCAGGAATAAAACAAATTCTAATGGAGATAGTCAAGTAAATACTAATATTAGAGACAATTCAGGTGTAAATTCTCCCAGAACAAATTCACTATTACAACACAAATCTAGAAAATCTGACAAATATGAAAGAAGTAGGGACGATGAGACAAATGTTTTTCACAGACATTTTGGTGAGAAATGTGTACTTGATGAAAGAGACAAGTTGCCCCTTCAAAAGGATAATGCTATGAAATCTTGTAGTCATGATAAAATACATAATTTAGAAGAACCACAGCCAAATGCAAACTTATCTCAATCTCCTGTACAGTTTAGAGTCAGAAATTTAAGAGTTCTTGCCGAAAATAATGAATTTTCTGACAGTAAGTTTGCAAAGATGAGACCAATATCTGGCTCTGTGTCACCATCAGGATTTGAAAGTATGCCACTTTCATTCGGTACAAATGAAAAGGAAACTGTGCTTGATTCTGCAGATGATTATGTCCGATTAAAAAAATGGAGGACATCAGATCTGTGTGAAAATGATGGCACAAACTCTGAAAATAGCAGCACGGACACATTTATTGTAAAAAGTAGTGAGGATGAACTTGAGAAAGATGGAGAAAATCTTCCAGATGTTACAAAAGGGACGAAATCTAATTCTAAACACAATGAAGAACCAGTTTTTGAAAAAAGTAAGTCTGAACCAGATTTAAAACAGGGCATCAAAAAAGAGCCTGTAAGACCAAGATCAGCCAAATCACATGTTAAATTGAATGAGCCAGTCAATGGAAATAAATTACCATCTAATTTTGGAATGCCTAGAACTGTTTCTGGAAATTTGAGGGAGGTTTTCAAACAATATAAACATGAAGGAAAATTTTCACGCTTCCAAGTACCTGAACACAAGACTGATAGTTTAAAATCCCAAACTTTACCTAGAACATCAAGAGTTGGCAACAGGCGATATGATGCTTATATTCCCCCTAGTCACATAATGAAGGAAGTAGCACGAGAGAGTGATCAATATAAACGGACTGAGCCTATACATAAGGAGAGGACACCATCTTCTGCCAGTAAAATGACTGTTCAATACTTAGACCTCATTGGGAATGAGTGGTCACAGGAAAGAAATAAACAAAGCATTGTAAATTCTCCAAGGTCACACAGTCAAGGTCACAGACGTGATGGTGATTATGTCCAATTAAACGAGAATGATCACTTGTCAGATTTAAAAATAAAATCTGCGTCACTTGGTCGTCATCCAAAGAAACAGGATTATCCAGAATTTTACTACCATACATGGAGCCCACGATCTCCATCAGGACATAATAACCAGAAACCTAAATCTGCAGGGCATGAAACAAGATCCCACAGAAACCAGCCTCCTCCTAACCCAAGACATCATACTAACCCATCAAACTCAGGTTCTTATAACACTTATTAGCATGCTTTTGCCATGTTTTTTTCTTTTACTGTGTTTTTCTTTATTTTCTGTTCTGCAGTTTTCTTTGTTTTTGTTTAGCTTACTTGATGCTTGAGCTTTAACCACTTTTCTGTGTAGTTAATATGGATGATTTTATTTCTTCAATCACATTTGTTAATCTTTGCAGCTCTTCTTGTATTTCAACAGCGATAATGTGACTCAATCTCAAAATAAACTTTTTTAACATCATATTAGGCACTACATGTAAAATTATTTTTATTAAAAAGTATAATTTAAAGTGTTTGTTCATCTTATTTAAAAATAAAACCAATTAAGTTTCTGATTTCTTGCTTAACCAAAGTTATGAGTTAAATCTACCAGTGTTCAACAAATTCCATAAAAAACGGAATTTTTTTTTAAATTTTTGTTAGTTATAATAATGAGGTATGGAAAACATAGACTGAACAAAATTATACATATCATAGTTCATAGTTTTTATAATTCATTCCTAACATACTTGATGGATATTGATATCAACAGTTGTTTTGTATTAATATGATCTATGTCCCTGACTCCCTGTTATTATATATCAGTTTTAACATGGGAGCAACATTTTTTACATATACAATAAAAATAAATATTTTTTTAATCTTAAAAGTGTTATTTAAGCCCTGTAGGAATCTCTTTAGTCATGACAATGGTCCAAAAATAATATATTGTAGGTAAAACAATATAAACTGTAAATTATCATCAATTTAAATAAAATGAATACTGTAACATGAACATGAACTTGCACGACCATTAATATTTATTTGTACTAACTTCAAGTAAATTTACAAAAAAGTTTAAATGTTGTGAATACAAGTAATAAGTACTCTCTGAGGAATTTCTTTGGACCATAAAAATGTTCCAAGATTTTCTGTTTCAAAAACCAGTTGACTGATTTTGACCTGAAATTTCAGGTCCCAGATTCGTGTCTAGTGAAAAGTTCAACATAGATTCTGTTGAAGAATTATATTCTGTTTTATGAATGTTCCAGCTTGCACTACTGTGACTTTGTATTATCTTTCCTGTTATTCAGTATACCAGTACTTTTATCTGGTACAAATTCAGCCACATTTTAGTGTATGAGTTTGTATAGAGTGTGCAGCAGCAGGAAGGGTTAGCCCAAAAATAAAATAAATTGTCTATTATTTTTTCTTTATTTCTAGCTAGTTATTTAAGAATGTTCTCCTATTTGATTAGTATTTGAAACTTAAATTTTGACTATACAGAAAAGAACTAAGGTTTAATTCTGTGTTTGTGCTATATGGACAGTGTCATTACATAGTCCTTATCGCTATTTGGGGATCTGTGTCACTTGACCTGAGAATTTGTGTCACTTGAACTTTTAACGTCATACAACAATCACTTTTCCTTTGTGGCGTCAGAGACATTTTCTCTTGTTACGTCAAAATTTTACGGGAACTTCTGTGATGTCCAGTAATGGCGGACAAATAGCGATAAGGTGTATTGGGACAAAGATTTCTATTGAACAAACATGGATAGCCCTAAAATAAAATTTGAATCAGTTTCAGAATTTGAAGTGATCCGAGTTAAGAATAATGATGTTATATTGTGAATGTTTCCAACAAAAAATTACTTAGCAATTTGAATTAGTTATTAAAGAAATAGTGTTTTTTTAAATATAATGTTCAGCAAAAACAGTTTGCTTCAGACAATTTTACTGTAGATTTATCTAAATTCAGCCTCAGCAATTTTTGTTTCAAAAACCTCTTGATAAAATTAAGATAGACTAAACCATGTGTATTGTAAAATTGGTTAATACATGAATTGTCTATTCTTCAGATATAAGTTTCAAATATCGTCAACAAAAATGTTTTTATTGTTGATGTTGGAAAAAGGGCTGTCATAACAATAAGAATAAGTGTTTAAAATCAATTTAAAAAAATCTGATAACCATACTTTTTGATTTACCTGTAAATTTGTTGAATTTTTAGGCATGTTTCCTTGAATATAAATTTTAAGTTGAACTTTTCTGTAAGTGAAAACATCTTCATTCATCTGTCTAGGACATAAACAGTTTTTTACTTAATTTTGAAGAATCAGTCTAAAAAAAAGAATTAAAATATTTTTTTCAATTCATTGCTTTATGTAAATGAAATTCTGAAAGACAAACTGTCTGCACTTTGGTTGAAATGTCATAAATCATTACTCAAAAGTTCAACTAGGTTTTGATTTGGTTTTATTGATTTTGTTTGTTTTCAAATGTTTGTGCATGAGTTTTTTTCTCCTCTTTGCATGAACAATAGAAAAAGTACAACAGCAACAACAACAAAGTCCTTTGTCTCCACTTCCTCCTAAAGTACCGCCTCCTCCAAAGCTGTCACCACGGCAACCACCAATCATAAAGTCCAGTACGTCATACAATCAGCTTTACTCAAAGTTTGAATCAGGTCAGCAAGGGAATTCATATACCAATAGATTTGGGAATGATCCACCTGCCCCGCCTGTAAGGAGTGGGAACTTCCACGAACCACCAAATCCACCTGTTAGAAAGTTAAAGTCAGCACCAGTTTCAAAGCTGCGGATTCGAAGTAATTTGTCCGCAGCAGAGCAACTGGGAATAAAAAGTTCAAGTCCAAAGCTAAATGGAGGTATAATTTTTATATAGAATTGCTCTTGTGGCTTGGTATGGTGTGTTTTTGTCCTCACGCCAGATAGATATTACACAAATGCTACTATTAACACACTTGTCTTGATTAACCATTTTTTTATATATATAAAACGGAATACAGATCACTAATAACATCATGTACTGGGGGGGAGACATTAATCTGGGCTGTAGTTTAAACAGAATTTTCTTAATATTCTTTTACAATATACCTTGTGGTTCGGGACTTTCAAGATGAAAGTAAACTTGACCAAATTGATAGAAATTTTATTGACTTTGGTATTATACTAAGTAGATATTTTATGGTTAGTTCTAATCATTTGAGAGAAAAAAGATGAAAATTAACCAACTTTTAACATTTTCCAAAACCTAAGATTTGTAAAAATTTTAATAGTTGATTTTGACGAGGATGGTAAGTATTTGCTTGTAACTTCACGTAAGCATGGATAGTGCTTATGACATTCATATTAATAATTAATATCATCACACATACATGTACTGCCTAAGACATATAGGAAAGAAAGTAAAATGTCGGTTAAAAGCATGCTTCTTATGCAAATTAATAGCCTTGCCAATATGTTAATTGTATCAAACCATTGTCCTCTCCCTTATCGTTGCAAGATACATGTACAAGAAAAAACAAAAAAAAGTAATATGAATTTAGAATATGCTACACTGTTAAGTGCTTCATAAGTCTGTTAGTTTATGTTTAGTTTTTCATCTTTCCACGATCTGCTTGCACTAATTTCTTCATTTTATACTGTATAAACGTTTCATTTTCTGTCCGCAAAATCTTAAAACTTAAACCATTGTTGTGATGCCACATGTTCTGTTTATTATTCCGCATTCAATATTTACATTTATGCATATTTTATCTATATTTATACAGGGATTATGGTACATAAATATATATATATTCTAAATAAAATGTAATTTGATAAAATGAAGAGCATGCATTATTATTGATAGCTTATCAAAATAATGTAAATTAATTGCATTTTGTATTGTTCATTTAAAAGTATCAATTTTCTTTTATAAGACATAAAATTTAATTGTAACTGAATATGTTTTTTAAAAACTTTGAATTAAAAAAGGCTGATTACTTATACTTTATTGGGTCAGAACTTTAAATATTGTTATCAAAGAGATAATAGTGCCAGTCTTATATTTGAGTATCCAGAATATTCTCGATGGTTTAACTGATAAGAGGTGTGTTTACATGATGTTTTGTATTTCAGCATTCAAGTTCCAGACATCAGATGTACGGAGAAGTCCAACAGAGAGAGTACAGCGCCGAAGAGAAGATGAAGAAGAATACAGAAGGAAAAGATTGGTAATATGATATCTGAGTTCTATGATAAATACATTTTTAAATCAGTTTAAAGAACAAGTAATTTCATAATGTCATAGTAAGACCTTGGTTTAAAAGACTTTCAAAATAAATTTCGATCATAATCAGTAAAGCTGGCGATGCTGTTCATGTTATTTGAAATGAGTTAAAATATGTTTGAATCAACATACAAAAAATAGGAATCAGAATTCGACAGAAAACATACATTATATCATTTAGCTTTGATACATGCAACAAACTTCAGAATTAAATGCAGACATTTTACAATATAAATATTCACAGAGTGAATCGACAGTAATGCATGGTTGTTTGAAGCCATTCCTGTACATTTGATGATAGAATGTTAATATAAGATAAATGTAAATCCTTCTGCAAATTAAATAAAAACATTGCGTGAAATTCCAAATTTGTAATATTTAAAAAGTAATGTTTTAGAATTATAACTGTATTTAGTCAAATTAAATTAATTAAATTAAACACAAATGAACCAATGCCTGGTAAATCGTCTGTCAGTAGATTCCATAAAGTGGATACCTCGGGTATGCAGGGTCGTTAAGATAAAAACATAAAATGTAGAAGGTCAGGTTACCTGACCTTCTGTATTTAGTAAAGGTGAGAATTTTGATCTGACCATATAAAACTTATATTTGAAGTTTACACCTGTAGTTGTCTTTTCTAGGAACAAATATATGAAGAAGAAAGAAGAAGAAAAATTGAGCTAGAAAAGGCTGATATTGAAGCACGCAAACATTCAGACTTTTTTACGTATGTATAATTGATAAACATATCTTTCATAGTCTTAGAACTTTTGGCTTTTATAGACTGCATTGGAGGTTTGGGACGCCTAAATCTTCCCTGGCTGTCTCCTACTTTAGACTTGAATAAATAATAGCTCAAATGTTTACACACAGAACAAAATAGTTTTTAACTATTGAATAAAATAGATAACAGTGATTTTTTATGTATATTTATTTATTTTTCAATATTAAGAGAAGATAAAAGATGATACAGAATTTTATGACTGCAATTTTTCTTGTGAAGACTTTTTATGAAAGGCATAGTATTTTTAAAAGAACTGCATGTAACTATACTCTACTTGTTGTAAAACCAAACTTTATCAATATCCTAGGAATGTTTTTTATATACATAAGGATATATTCAATGTCGTCATCCATAGTGTATTCTTAGGAACTGACATTAAAATGTGTTACCAAATGTAATGTGGAATCATTATCATTTTAGATATATATATTACTATTTGGTTACATACCAACTTTGAATTAAAGCAAATTGTTGTTAGTTTATTTATCAGAGGGGGACAAGATTAATAAAAATGGATTTACGTTGCAATGAAAATAGCAATTTCTAAACAACAAAAATCAAAGATTCCACAAAGTTAAGTCAATTTGTGATATCTAAAACCTAGATTGAAGCATTTTTGATTTACAGAAGTTGTTAAATAGTGTTATGAGGTCAAAATTCATCATTATTTACAGTTGATAAAATTTCCATTCCTACAAGAATCACTTTTATTTGCGTTTATACAATTTACCTAACATCAGAACAAAATATGTGTTGTTTCCATCTTTTTTTAATATATTTATATATTATACACAATAATAATTTTACACTTTTAACAAATAAGTGCATGTTAAAATAATCATTGCAAACATGCTACATGACATATTTTTTTCCTCCCCAGTCAAGAAATATATATGGAGTAAGTATCAAGGACTGACAACTCTTACTAACATCAAGGGAAATAACTCTTTAGACTTTGTAGTGCAGTGTTTGATTATGTGTTTTGGTTAAATGTCTGCTTTATACTATATATTTTGTAAGCAAAATAAAAATGCTTGCTAATTATGAGCAATGGAAATTAGTTGCTAAAACACAGTATTATTCAAGAAATACCTAAAACACATAACATATTTAAATGCTGTGAAAGGATTTATATTTCAGATTTTTTTTTTATTCACTTTTTATTTCCCATGTTAATAATTTCCTTCTCATGTTGATTTCATTAACACTCATTTTATTTACATTATTTTATTTATTTACACAGTTTTCTAATTATTTTCACTCTTGCTATTATATTTGAATGCACTCAAATTTAGAAGTTTCGTTTTTAACTTTCCATCACTGTAAAAAAGGCTTTGGAAATTAACTAAAAGGCTGTATCATGCACAGTTATTTATTTTTTTAATTTGTTTAACTTGAATTGGAGTGTGTGAATTTAAACCTTAATTTTAAGAGTTATGGCATAGTTGAAATTTCAATCTAAAATCTTACAAGATAGTATAAATTTCTTGTTAATAAAGTCAAGGGTTTAGATTAAAAAAAACATGTTTATTTTAGTTCGTCTTGTCTGTCATGGATATTTAGTTTCGTTGGAACTAATCATAGTCCATTAGTATGTCAGTATGTCTCGTTACAATTTGAGTTTGCTTTCTGTAAGGTACAGCATGCATCTCTGCTATTTAATTCAAGATTTTGTGAACGTTAATTGTCATGTTTGGTCAAGAATATCAAAACTACAGATCACAATATTCGTTACTAAAGCCCTATTGAAAGAGTTTGGATATCTCCTCCATAAAAAAGATATGGTCCAACTACTTATTTTGGAAAACTGTCACAAGTATCGGTATTTTAAAATATATGTTTTAAGTTTTAAGCAAATTGTGTTTGATATATGTTTTGCTAGGTATAAAAAGATAAATTTCACCTTCACACCATTTGTTGTTTAATTACCTTTTATTTTCCATATGTTATATATGTTTCCTTCATTTACAGTCTTCGATTTATTTATTTTTCTGTTTAGAGATTTTAGAAATTAATGTCTGTTTTGCATGAATGAGACAATCCAATAAACATTTGACTTATCTTTTGTAGTGCCGCCCAGAAATCTCCAATCCCAGCTGATCGCTTTGAAGAACCTATTAGTGGATACAATACAGTACCAGCTGATAGACGCAGAGGCTTTAAAATCCATGGCAAAGCTAAAGCTGTATATAATTTTAATGCTCAAAATCCTAGGTTGGTATAAAATAGAATATTAGATATTGTAAAAAAATTTATGTGTTATCGAAAATGTTGTTATAAAACAGCACTTGCAATATAAATGCTGAGTCAGAACAAAAATACATGTATATCTATGAAGGTACGTTTTCAGATGCCCCAACATCCATAGAACTTTATGCTAAAATATTAATGAGGCCCAACTACCCGTAGATATTTGTTTGCATGGTTGCCTTCAGAGACCTTCCAGATTACTTTTCAGAAGTCCTCAAAACCCATATAGGTTGCACTTTGTAAATACAGCTGTTTTTCAAAACACGCCTCTTTTGGGGAGATATAAAATATTCATAGACAATTAATTTTGTTTACGTACTAGTTCCCGGATATGATCTCTATGTTTCATCTCATAGAGACATAACTTGGGATGTTACCAGTAAATATACATATTCATAGTGATCAAGTTGAAGTCTGTGGATATCCTTAAGTCAAGGTTGGGGTAGTATAGAAATTTAATGTAAGTTTAAACTCTTAGAAGTTCGGGGCATATAAACGTTGAAAATATGCCGCACAGCCCTATATTTTGACCTTTGAAAAAAATAGTAGTGCATATGAACTTTCCATTCTAGGATATATTTTTTTTCAAAACTTTATAGTAAAAGTGGTACAGTTTTAGCCGTGAAAGGAGCTCCTATGGGAAATTGCATTGTTGATATTTACAGAAATGCAACCTATATTGGGTACAAAAAGGGAACATACAGAATTTCACCAAATCTAGTTTATCTCAGAGATTTTAATGAAATTAACTCAAATATGAAGTTTTATAAATATTTCATGAAGATTGAGAAAATCCTGGGCCTCAACTATGATGACTCAGCATAAATTCACAGTTTACAGTATGCATAGTTTAGTTAAAGTCATGAATGCAAAATAAATTGATTATATGTGCATATTAGTAATTTAAATTGTTTAGAAGTGTTTATATTTACTCTTCGCAGTCATTGAAACTCATAGATCCTTCCTGCATATTATTGGTGGGGTGTTTTTATCCTGTCGATAACCCAAAAGTAAGCCGTAGCACCTAAATGTGCTTTTTTGTGATCACGGCATAAAAAATACAAGCTAGAAATACAAAAATACCTCAATAAAACTTACAATAGTGTGTTCTATCCTAAATATGCACTAAATATTCCATATTGCTAGAAACAGCAGAATAATTTAGGAAATTTGAGGCCCCAGGGGCAAAAAACAGAGAAAAATGCCTACCCCCTGGGTCATAATTTCATAAAACAAATAATTTGACTTGTAAATGCTATGACTTTATTATTTCAAAGGTCTTTTGTATAGAAACCAATAACTGTACTTGGAAGTTATGCAAAATCAGATGTTAGCAGTCATTTCTATAAAACTTTTAGTGAATTCATGCATCAGACTGGTATCTTCATACATACAACTTTTGCAAATATGGCTTTGTTTAAACACTTCTAGTTCATATATTAGCTAAATTATGTTAGATATATGGTAAGAGATGATACTGTTGTGACAAGATTTCTTAACTGACCATTTGAGGCAGTAATTGTGAACTTTCATTGACAAATAGGCATACAGTAAGATGTGGACTGGAGACAGAGGCAGGATTGGACACTTTATATAATCTTGAATGTTGGAATGATTAGCTGCTTAACATTACATTTATAGTGTTCTGAAATGCTTTCAATATGTTATCAAAATAGTTTCAAACAGGTTCTAGACATTTCATGTCAGAAAACATGCTCATAGGGTAAGCTGGCAATAATTAAAGTCTTGGTTTCAAATTCTGTAAAAAATTGATACAGGGGTGGGGGTATAAAATGTACTGTAAAAGAAAACTTAGAGTATATGCAGTGATTTCTTTCAGGCTATAATTCTGAGATATAAGTATTGTTGTGAGAAAAAGTGTTTTTAGAAAGTTTTCTATTGAAATAAATGTTAGTATAGGTTGCACTTTGTAAATACAGCTGTTTTTCAAAACACGCCTCTTTTGGGGAGATATAAAATATTCATAGACAATTAATTTTGTTTACGTACTGGTTCCCGGATATGATCTCTATGTTTCATCTCATAGAGACATAATTTGGGAATGTTACCAGTAAATATACATATTCATAGTGATCAAGTTGAAGTCTGTGGATATCCTTAACCCTTTCCCTTTCACACCGGTACAGCTTACCGGTGAAGCAAATTTTAAGATATTTTTTGGGCATTTTGTCTTGTTCCATCGTCATTTGCTGACGTACAGATATGGTTAAGGGCTCAAATCAATCCTCAGGATACCAGCAATATGATTGAATGTGCATCAAACTTCTATCATTATCAGTTCATAGTCAATTCGCCTCTTACTGACATGTATTTATTCTGTAAAAACCTTTTTTTTTCTTCGAATTTTAAAGAATATTTTCAAAAAGAAGTGCATAGAAAACTATCCTTTTTGGGGGAATTATGACTTTTTTCAATAACTGTGCAGTGAGTTTTTGAAGAATGGTATTAAAATAATAGTTCTAACTTGTACACTAGTTAAAAATGTAATTTCTAGTGTACCAGCGCAAACACAAACTTGAAATGCGCTAAAAATCCGTAGTCATTTCTTAAAGATTTTATCGTAAAAGAGATAAAAATCACTGAAATGTCCTGAATTTTTTTAGCAAAGTTGAAATAGATGTAACAAAACATGGTTTCGTAAGTGTTTGGGTGTGATAAAGTTGAAAACACTTTTGTTTAAATGAAGGAAAATGTATATGTCAATGGAAACAAGACAGATTAAGAACTGGATTCCTGCTATATTTGCGCAAAAAACCATGCATTTGGCCATTTGGCATCAAAAATATATTATCTGAACACATAATTTCTAATAGAAAACAAGCTGGGTGAGGATCTTCATATGTTTTTTTTTTCACGTCTTGAGTAGTAGAGTTAAGTACTTAAATTTCAATATATTCCTAACGATGCCAGTGGTGCAGGGGAATGCTGAACAAACCCAAGGCGGAAAGATCGCGTGTTCGATTCTCACTGCCGGAGGTTGAAAAATTATTTCATATATTAAATGTAACTTAACTTAACTTTACTTTCAATTTCAAAAAGAAAAACCAACGAAATACTTATGTTTGTTTTTAAAAGAATGTGTGTGCCAAATTGCCCCCCTCCCCCTTTTGCCCCCATTTACTTCCTCGGGTTCGGTCCAGGGTACGCCACATCAAGTTATCATTAGTAATTAAATGAATTTTCCCTTAGAAAAACAAAATTTAGGTTGCTGCTTGACTGAAATCGATTTAGACAAAAAACTAGTGTCCGAGTTTGAAATTGGACGAAAAGAGCGTCTGAAATCAGTTATTTTGAATGTTACGGACATCGAGATTTCAAGGCATATAGCACGCATTTCCTCTTTTAATACCAATATGATAACTTGTATGTCTTTAACAGACTTGGGGCATTGTGTTTCCACCAAAACCTTACCCTATTAGCGCAACAATATGTCTCTACACGACTTTTATCCCAAGGATTTCGTATTTTTTCACATTTTCTCCAGAAGTCACGTGACAGTTCGAAACATCCCACGTGACCAAAAAAGGACGAATTATCTTTAAACGTAATTTTCTGAAATATTTGATCAATTATCTTTCATATGAGCCCAACATGGCATGTGCATGACCATTGGTGCGAATGCAGTATTCAATTGAACTTTGATAGTGTCTTTTCGATAAGTAAAGGTCTAAAATGCCTGAAAGGGAAAGGGTTAAGTCAAGGTTGGGGTAGTATAGAAATTTAATGTAAGTTTAAACTCTTAGAAGTTCGGGGCATATAAACGTTGAAAATATGCCACACAGCCCTATATTTTGACCTTTGAAAAAAATAGTATTGCATATGAACTTTCCATTCTAGGATATATTTTTTTTCAAAACTTTATAGTAAAAGTGGTACAGTTTTAGCCGTGAAAGGAGCTCCTATGGGAAATTGCATTGTTGATATTTACAGAAATGCAACCTATAACTGACAAATTACAGTGCATTATAAAGGTAACAATAATAGTGATGATGAGTGTATTTGAATTTTATATACATAATTGATCCTTATTGTTTTTCAGAGAATTGTCGTTTAGGAAAGGTGATATTATATATCTACTGAGACAGATAGACAAGAATTGGTTTGAAGGAGAAAGATATGGACGATCTGGATTATTTCCTGTTAATTATGTAGAGGTTTGTAATAAAGTTTATTGTAAAGGGAAAATGTTGTCATAAATAGGAAAATGTTAAAAGACATTGGAAAAATAAAAACATAATTTAATCAATTCCAAGGTAAATGAAAAGGTTTGAAATACTTTGAATATCCAGAAAAACTAATACTTCCAAAGGAGGAACAACAGAAACTGACTGTCACATTTCTTGATATGACTATGAAAAAGTAAATTATGAATTCAGTTAACTACTAATAGTAATATTTAATAGAAATTCTTGATAAGCTATTAATCACAGAACAGGTTCAGTAAACACAAATCTAACCAGGAAGCAAAACAAAAGTTTCTTCCACATTATTTCAGCTTAAAGAAGAAATATTTACAGAGGGTCACAATATTTTTATACCCCCGCCACTAGGCTATGGGGCATTAGGTTTAACCCTTGTCCGTCTGTACATTCTTTCATCCCGAAATTGGTTTCCTTTCTCTAACTTTAGTTTGATTTAACCAAATGTTATGAAACATATACACAATGCTTATTATTACCTAAAACAGATCAAGTTCGAATGTGGGTCACGTCACTTCACCATTCTCGAGTTGTGTCCCTTTACGAATGGGAAAATTGCTGCATTTGCCGTATATTTACAATTTTGGGGAATCTCTGTCCCTTGGACACATTTTTCTTTTATTTCAATTAGTTTCAACCAATATAGAATTTCAAAGGAGTTCTTAAGAGTTACTTGCAACTTGGAATATTGCCACAAAAGGTTTGATATGTAATTTATAAATATACAACAGAAAGAAGTCAATAACAATGTATCATTTTTTTCACTTTTAAGGTGTTAACATCAATAGAGGAAGCCCACACTGCTGCCCAGCAGGCAGAGGGCCAGGCCAGAGTCAGATATAACTTTACTGCCCAGACAGGAGTGGAATTAACATTACGCAAGGTAAATTAGAAAAAGGAAGATTTGTATATGTCAATTTGACAAATAACTAGACAATGATATAAAGGAAAGAAAGCATTATCATTTAACAAGCTATTGTTAGACCTTAGATTGGTTAAAATACTCATAATTTATAATTGTCTCACCTTGATGGTGTCAAAAAGCGAGACTTAAGTATGCTGTTTCTGACAGCGGCAGCTTCAACAATGTATTAGTTTATGATTAGGTCAATTTTTGGGAACCACTAGTGGTAGGTCAATGATATTTGGTATGCAGTTGTATTAGCATTGGCACATCTCATTACCATGGAGATTATTTGGCCCCTCCCCCACAGTCATAGTCTATTGACTTTGAAACTTTTGCTTACTTTACGTATATGAGTTTGTGATTAGGTCAGTTTATGGGGAACCACTTGTGTTAGGTCAATGATATTTGATATGCAGTTGTGTTAGCATTGGCACATCTCATTTCCATGGATATAATTTGACTTTGGCCCCGCCTCCTCTGTCATGGTCTATTGACTTTGAAACTTTTGCTTAGTTTACATGTATTAGTTTGTGATCAGGTCAGTTTATGGAGAACCACTAGTGGCAGGTCAATGATATTTGGTATGCAGTTTTATTAGCATTGGCACATCTCATTACCATGGAGATTATTTGGCCTCTCTCCCACAGTCATAGTCTATTGACTTTGAAACTTTTGCTTACTTAACATATATGAGTTTGTGATTAGGTCAGTTTATGGGGAACCACTAGTTTTAGGTCAATGATATTTTGTATGCAGTTATGTTAGCATTGCCACATCTCATTTCCATGGAGATTATTTGGCCAGCCTCCTCAGTCATAGTGTATTGACATTGAATGTTTTGCATAGTTCACATGTTAAAGTTTGTGATTAGAGAAACCACTAATGTTAAGTCAATGATATTCGGTATGCAGTTGTAGTATCATTTGTAAGTCTCCTTTCCATGTGATTATATGGACCACCCCACTCAACATGGTTCATTAACTTTGAAACTTTTACACTGTTTACAAATTAAAGTTTGTTTTTAGGTTATTGTTAATGGAACCACTTATGATAAGTCAATGGTATTTGGTATGCAGTTTTATAAGCATTGGCATTTCTCATTTCCATTGGGTTATTTGGTTCTGTACCATAAGTTCATTGACTTTGAATGTTTTGCATAGTTTACATGTTTAAATATTGCAATTTGGATTCAATATTTGCATTATACTACCAAAATTACATAAAGGTGAGACATATCTCTCTGTCAACAGTTTTTATACGACCGCAAAAAAATTTTGCGATCGTATATTGGTATGACGTTGGCGTCGTCCGAAGACACATTGGTTTTCGCACTCTAACTTTAGTTTTAAGTGAATGGATCTCTATGAAATTTTACCATAAGGTTCAATACCAGAAAAGGAAGGTTGGCATTGATTTTGGGGGTTATGGTACCAACAGTTAAGGAATTAGGGGCCAAAAAGGGGCCAAAAATAAGCATTTTTGTAACTTCCAGACATAACTTGTGTGTTGGTGTATGGATCTCTCTGACATTGTACCACAAGGTTCCATTCTCACACAAGGAATGCTGGGATTGATTTTGGGGGTAATTGCCTCAAAATATTAGGAATTAGGGGCCAAAAAAGGGGCAAAAAACAAGCATTTTTCTAGTTTCATGACAATAACTTGTGTGTAAGTGTATGGATCTTTCTGAAATTGTACTACAAGGTTCCATATCTCAAAGGGAAAGCTGGAATTGAGTTTGGGGGTAATTGCCCAAAACGTTTAAGAATAAGGGGCCAAAAAGGGGCCAAAAATAAGCATTTTTATAGTTTCCAGACTATAACTTGTGTTCAAGTGTATGGATCTCTCGGAAATTGTACTGCAAGGTACCATACCACAAAGGGAAGGCTGGGATTGAGTTTGGGGGTGATGAATCATAAGGGGGTTCAAAACATTTTTGGGGGGGGATTTTTTTTTTTTTCCTTTTTTTTCTTTTTTTCCTTTTTTTTTCTTTTAAAATTTTCCATTTTAAGTTGGTTATTTCTGTTTTATATTTAAAAGCAAATAATAATGATATGGTAGGAGATACACACCAAACAGGATGTGTAAATTATTATATAATAAGTATTGTGCAATAGCAAGAAATTTTCAATTGCACAGTATTGCACAATAGCAAGAAATCTTCAATTGCACAGTATTGCGCAATAGCAAGAAATCTTCAATTGCACAGTATTGTGCAATAGCAAGAAATATTTAATTGCACAATATTGCGCAATAGCAAGAAATTGTCAATTGTACAGTATTGCGCAATAGCAAGAAATATTCAATTGCACAGTATTGTGCAAAAGAAGATACTTCGTATGAATTGCTTATTTCTTGACCAATTTCAATGGGGTTTTATTCTTGAATTCTTGGGGTTCTTTAATATGCTGATTCTAACCGTGTATTAAGTTTTTTTGATTTTGGGCCCCGTTTTTAAATTGGTCCACATTGAGGTCCAAAGGGCCCAAAATTAAACTTTGTTTGATTTCATCAAAAATTGAATTATTGGGGTTCTTTGATATGCCGAATCTAACCATGTATTTAGATTCTTAATTTTTGGTTCCGTTTTCAAGTTGGTCTACATTAAGGTCCAAAGGGTCCAAAATTAAACTTTGTTTGATTTTAACAAAAATTGAATTCTTAGGGTTCTTTGATATGCTGAATCTAAACATGTATTTAGATTTTTGATTATGGGCCCAGTTTTCAAGTTGGTCCAAATCGGGGTCCAAAATTAAACTTTGTTTGATTTCAACAAAAATTGAATATATGGGGTTCTTTGATATGCTGAATCTAACCATGTATTTAGATTTTTGATTTTTGGGCCCCATTATCAACTTTGTCCACATTGAGGTCAAAAGGGTCCAAAATTAAACTTCTTGGGGTTCTTTGATATGCTGAATCTAACCATGTATTTAGATTTTGGATATTGGACCATAATAGGTGAATGTCCAATTTAAAATTTTTAAGTTCTTAGACCACATTCATTCTGTGTCAGAAACCTATGCTGTGTCAAATATTTAATCACAATCCAAATTCAGAGCTGTATCAAGCTTGAATGTTGTGTCCATACTTGCCCCAACTGTTCAGGGTTTGACCTCTGGGGTCGTATCAAGCTGCGCCCTGCGGAGCATTTTATTATTTTAGTTGCCTGTTTGATATCTATTAAAATGTTCTATTTTCCCTAAATTATGTACAAATAAATATAAAATCCTAAATTATGTACAAATAAATATATAATAATGTGATATCCATGCACACAACACATGTTGCTTGAATAACCGTCAGGTATGCTTGAGACCAAAATTTGGAGAGCCAAAATATAAAATGTCTGTTTATTTCATATGGAACAGCAATTTCTAAAATTATGTTTTGAGCCCTTGTCAAAAATGTGTGTGTTTTGAACTGTTAAGTATTACAAAGGTATTGCCAAGAAAGGCCTACAGATAGTACATTAAATCAACTACCATAGTACTAATGTAAACAGGAAATTTAATTTTATTCATGCTAGTCTAGAAGCACTGGATACTTGTTGGATAGTACCTCTTGGATTGACAGTCTAACCACCACCACCTGCACCGACCTAGAAGTAGAATTATAAATGTGTGATACCAATATCAACAGTACATTTAAAATGAAAGAACTGCTGATCAATACTAATAAATTCTGTGAAAGCTTACATTTCTGAATATTTATTTTATTTAGGGTGATGTAGTAACATTATTACGATCAGTAGATGAAAATTGGTATGAAGGTCGAGTAGGAAACAAACAGGGCATATTCCCCAGATCTTATGTAGAAGTGATATTTGATCCATCGACACCATTAGTGACACCAGCGCCATCTGTCATCACTACACCAATGACAGGTAGAGGTGATTATCGACTATCTTATTCTCTGCATCTGTTTCTTGTCTTGCTGTTTTCTACCTGTTCAGTTATTCATTCACTTTGATGTGCAGATATATTACACCACAATTTTGTTTGGGTTACCTATTGTTCCTTATTGCATATTAGTACATTGGCAAAATTTTGATATTCAATTAAAAAAAAAAATTTTGATAAAGAAGTTTTTCAAAAAAACTGAATTGGAATATAATGTATTAAGCCTTTAATCTGTGGACATTTCTAGTATTTTGCTCTCAAAAACAGTAAAGATATAAAATTAATTGTTACTGAAACAGCTAATAAAAGTAGAGTTTGCCAATGTCAATTGTATTTTGCTTACTTTGAACAAGTACCTGCATGATTTCATTTATTATTATATGTGCATTTTTGTTTTAAACATTGATTTTAATTCTAGACATTTTAAACTGGCTAGTAAAATAACAGTATTTTTATCAACAGCTTAAGTCACAGTGGTAATTTTTTTTCAAAATCTACTTTGTTAGTTATGTTTGAGGAAAATGAATTTTTAAGGTAACGATTTAAATTTAATTTATTGAAATGTATACAGAATTGAACCTAGAGCTAGGATGCATGTTACTTCAGGAAATTACACATACCTATATGATATGCCAATATTTAATCTTTTGATTTTTTTAACACATCAATACTTGTTAATAATACAATGATAAGTTAGTTCTGAATAGTAAAATCAATTTTGGGGAAAAAGACGGTAATAATAAAAAACACAAAAAAGGGCAAGGAATAGATACAAAGCAATTATATGTGAAAAGGAGAGATATGTGGTTGATGTGCACACATGTACAAATGAAAGTCAATATTAGTCGTTTAGCAGTCTGTTCAACAATCATAAATTTGATTCATGTCACGACTAGTGGTAATAATTGCTATTAATTTAAAGTACTGTTTATGTTGCCATTTGATCTTACAAATTTGGAAGTTGCATCTATCAAACAATTATATGTGTAAGTCGCCACAGTTTGTGTTTAAACAAAACTCTCATAAAAGAGATATGGGATATATCAATGAGACAGCAAACTAACAACACAAGTGTCTATACAATATGTCAACCTGTAATTCACCCAAGTCTTAAGAAGTCAATAAATAATACTTTCAAAGAACTGCCATCAACTGTGATCATGTAACAGGATTAAGTTATAGGGTTAAATTAATATTTTAAATCAACCCTCTCCCTGATCAAACTCATTCAGTGTATGTACGAGAGAATACAATAAAAATCAGTACAGATAAACAATATTATATCAAATATGCTCACAATAACTGAAAGTATCGGAGATTAGAGATTGTGTTTAAACAAAGAAAAATTAACAAAACATTTAGGTATACCGTAATACCTTCTGTAAAATAGATTGATGTCCTTTATCCATGGAAAAAATCGTTCTAGGGCTGTATAATATGTGGTATGTTATAATTTTGGTGTTACAGGTACTCCTGAAATGTTATCACCATCGGGTTATGATGCACCAACTCCTCCTCCACAACCGTCTCCACGAGCATTCTCACCCAGATCGTCAGCTTTTCAACATCATCAACAACGTCAGTTTAGTCCACAGCAACAGGGCATAAGTCCTCATCAACAGACATTAAGCCCACAACAACAGGGCATTAGTCCTCATCAACAGACATTTAGCCCACAACAGCAAGGGCTTAGTCCTCATCAACAGACATTTAGTGCACAGCAACAAGGATTAAGTTCTCATCAGCAAGCATTCAGTCCACATAGATCAAATTATACCTCACCACGTTATGATGGCCCACAACAACGAATGGATGAAGGCCCGGTTCGATTAAATGGATACTCACAGTATAACGGAGATTATAACGTTTCACCGCAACATCAAGGACAGCAACAAGGTCGACCACGACAAAGTCCAACGATAGGGAGGAAACAGTTTGTGTCTAATGGGCCAACATACCCACCTAGTGCCAATATAAACTATAATGTAGAAACAAACAATAATGAAATTAGAAATAAAGTGCCAGATGATGATTTAGCGTTGTGTAGGTTAGTACAAATTGATTGAGCTTATAATTCAGAGTTATCTCCCTTCTAGAATATACAAGTTGTAGAAAATTAAAACAATATACTTTTTAAAATATAACCCATAGATATATTTAACCTTTTATAAGATGGTCAAAGGGATAAGAACTCATTAATCTCCCAGGTGACATTGGAATTCATAAGTTCTATGTCAATCTAATCTTTGAAACACTAAATGCAGAAACCAAACATGTATTAAATATACCATAAAGCTATTTTTGAAGTCACAATTTAAAATGTCTGACACTACGAAGGAAAAGTGATTGTTGTATTACTTCAATAGCTCAAGTGTTGGAAATTCTCAGGTCAAGTGTTGCAGATTCCAAAATAGTAATGAAGTCTATTATACTTCCTTGTAAAGAAGTGATATAAGTTATCAGTGTTTCTGGAGAAGCAGATTGCCAATATTTATCTGAAAATGTTCATGCTATTCTTCCCATTTTTTATTCTGTGTACTTTACTAATAAATCTTGAATACAGATATCAAACAGCATGCATAATTACACTACATAAATACAGAATATTGTGAGCAAATTTTTTTGGTTTTTGATTGATGAAGTAGTAACTTTCAAATGATGTTATAATCTCTATGTGAAACAAAACAGCATAGTGATTCTTATGTAAAACTTTAGAATATGAGATAAGAAAACATGAGAACATACCTAAAAGTACGTATAAAAAGGAATCATATGTAGATCTTATCTGAAATCTTGTGATATATATGTTATTTTTTCAAAGACATTTTGATAAAAAGAAATGGGTAAGAGATCCATAATTCGAGTAGCACATTTTATTTTTATAATCCTTTTAATGAAGTAAACTTAATATGCTGGTTTAGTGCTCACAGTTGTTAAAAAAAATGCACTGCAAATGAACAGAAATAACTTGCTTTTTTCAGATATAGGGCAGTTTTTGCATATAGGCCACAAAATGATGATGAATTAGAACTTTTAGAAGGAGATGAAGTTTATGTGATGGAGAGATGTGACGATGGTTGGTATGTGGGGACATCAAACAGGACTGCTATGTTTGGTACCTTTCCAGGGAATTATGTACAATTAATTCAATGTGAGTTTTATGTCACTGTGTCACGCAGCTATCTGCTGAATAACACTTGTTCATATCACACTTTTTGCAGCATGAGTATTTTGCATGGTGTATTTTCAATTTGGATTGAATTATATTGCTAGATATTTCTGAATTTTTGAGGATTTTTTTTTTGATTTAAACAGAAAATGGATACTGGTAAATCATATTTCTTCAGTAATAGATGTCAAAGAGGTGTTATACAATTGCAATAAAGTGTGTTTTTTTTTATAAACATTTATCATTTAAAAAGTATGTGTGTAAAAGTTTTTTTAAGAAATTATATAGGGTCCATTGGCAATTCAGATGAAAGTGAATTGGTTATGCTTATCTCCAAATTAATGACAGCACTAACTGTAATGGTGAGAATAGTGAGATTTCCGAAAAGGTCCATCCATTTTTATTGGTTCACATTTTTAAACTCCACTAATGGTTGAAATATAAAATGTGGTATGATTGCCAATGAGACAACCCTCCACCAGAGACCAAATGACGTAGAATGTAACAACTGTAGGTCACCATACAGTCTTCAATAATGATCAAAACCCAGACCTCATTGTAAGCTATAAAAGGACTCGAAATGACAAGCGTAAAACAATTCCTGAAAATGTAAAAATAGCAAATATGATAAACAGCAACAAACAACAACCACTGAATTACAGGCTCCTGACTTAGGGCAGGCACATTTAGAATTAAGCACGTGTTTGCCGGCGCCAAATCCTTCCCCTAACCTGGGACAGTGGTGAAACAGTACAACATAAGAACAAACTAAAATAATCAGTTGAAAGGGGCTTAAATTATAAGGTCGAATACAAAGCACAAAAAAACTAACAATAATGCAAAAGACAAAAAGGATCTGAGAATACTCCCAGTTACTGAAAGTTAGTTCAATGCCCATAACAACTTATGTAAAATCATGTATCTAAGACTTAAAAGCATCCTTTTTTCTACTGCAAGTGAATTATTCTTTAGCTAGTGTATTTGATCTTTACCAAGGATCATACCATTTGTGAAATATATAAGAAAATATTCTTCTTGAGATTCACTCCAATTATTGGAAACCAAATGAGTGTTCTTTATAAGATATGTAATGTATTTTGATATTGGTACTGGTGCCAAACATTTTGAATTATAATTTTATAAAAGTTCCATGCAGCTAACTAATATGGTGACCATTTAAGACTTCTTGTCTTACTTTTGGTTTTATATAATTGCTTAATCTGCGGAGGGAATGCTGGCCCGGGAATGCTCATTGGTTCTTGCGCTCCCCAAGTTTTATTTTAGACCTTACAATTAAAATCACACCAGAATTATAAAACCATGGGCATTCAGTTCAATTTGAACTTGAATACATGGATACCATACAGGCTCATGATAGCCTTCAGATCTAACTTAGACTAGGTATTCTTGAGTTTTAAAAAACAAAACAAAACAAAATTTAACCTAAAAATTGATGATATATAAGAATTAATTTGTTTCATTTTATGTTTGAACCAAATTAGGTGATAACAATATTTTAATTAAAAATTTGCAGGCATTTATTTGCAACCATCAAATCAGTAATTGATGCTTTCAAATCTTCACAAACAATACTGTTATCTCCATTCAAATGCACCTTAAAAAACCTGAATCATACATTTTAAATTCAGTCAAACAATTTCTGCACTTGCATACACAATTTCAAACCATTCATCATAGAATTAGTGCCCTGAAATATGTGGCTTCCTCCAATCAAAAAGAACTTTTCAAACAATGGTGCATTATAATATTCATTTGATTCATACTTAAAATACCATTCTAAAAACTATTTAGCAGAAGTGTGATTTATTGTAATAAAACTTGTTTTCCATTTTAGGACGAATCAGAATCTACTGTAGACCTGGTTATAGAAGTGAATAAAGACTCCGCAATCACAGGAGTATAAAATGTAACAAGTCCCAAGTATCACGCCAAAATGTTAGCCACAGTGACAAAGGACACTTTACCATGGCTGCTAGAGATTGCATCATCATCTATTTATAGCCACACAAATAAATGCATTTAGGTAGACAAAAGCTGCATGTTACAAATAATGTGTTCATCAACTTGTACAAATTTTCATTTATCAGCAGACTTAGTAGAAGAACAAATTGGACGCAAGGTTTTTTTAAATTTAAATTATTTACATTATAACAAGGGTTTGTTTGTTTGTTTATGTCTTAATTTTTTAACATTTCATCATGTTACAAATATCATTAGCTATTTATGGATCAATTAAATGTGTTTATGTTTGTTGTTTGGGTTGAAAACCCAAATTTCCTGAGAAGGATGCTGTTAATGTTGAAAATTTGACAATCTGAAAATTTCTAACCAAAAAATAGGGATTCAGAAAGTGATTAAAGAGAAAAAAAGGGGAGATAAAAATAAATAAATACAAAGCATATTTAAACTAGACTTTAATCAACATGGTTTGACACCATCAGTTCAACTGAATTTTCAATAATTGATTGTTTAAAATAAATATAGCAATGCTGTAATTTTTAACCATAACCACTTCTTTGATGGAAATTTGGGACTTCAGTTCCCTTTTAATGTTGTACTTTTCGAAATTATTACATGTACAACAATGGTAAAGGGGTTCTTGTGTGTATGTCGTACAATTGAAACATTTAGACATCCATTAAAGGACTCTGTCGCTAGTATGTTGTACATTTCTGCAGGGAGAAACATGTCCATGTCTTTTCATTAAATTTCGTAAAGTTTAATTAGGGAATGTTTTATTAGATATATAATTTTTTTTGTATTTATTGTTGATTGAAATTTTATTGGAATCACGAGTTTTCGTATCTAATTTAACCTTTTTCCTCCCTAGATATATCATAGTTTAAAAAATAATAATATTTTTCTATAAAACTTTTTTTAAGTCAGGGTAAAAGTAAACAATACAGATATTTTAACCTTTTTACCCCATGGGTAGATTTGTTTTCAGCTTTTGAGGCCATAATAATATTATTCCAACTGACTTGTCCCTGCTTGTTCCAGTTTCTTTGGTAGTTTTACTAAAAGCCACACAGCAGACAAAGTGTTCATCTTACGCCTTCAAACCAGTCATTTTTAAACCGAAATGGAACAAACCTGAATACAAAAATTCCCTGATGACTTTATTTTCTCAAAAGGTTGTAATGAGAACCTAGCAATATCTTTATAAGGGCCTAATCTAAATATTGAGATTTTTAATTGATCAAAAGAGGACAATTATCTCATTTACATTTTGTATATCCCTTAATTTGAATTGTAAGAATCATGAAGGTTGATTTGATACTGTATGTTTTAAAACAGTCCAAATCTGATTTGTTAACAACTGTCTACCTGAAATTTTCTGATTCATAGATCTTGTTACATATTTCTCCTCAGTTTTTATAATAGATTACCAATTTAGTATGAATTTTCAGTCTTTGATTTACATATTTAATAATGTTAGTTGTGACTTTTTTAATAGAAAAACAAATTATTGTACACATAGATTTTAGGTTCTCAAATCTAATACCGGTGAAATTTTCCCCTCCAAAAGGTTTTGGGCCAACTATTTAAAATGCAAATGTAACAAATGTATTTAATCTAGTGAATATTGTATTTGATTAATCTGGAAAATTAAACATAGAAATACCAACCAAGATGACAGGAAAAGAAGTATTATAACTAAGATTTTACTAACGTTTCTTTTGCTCGTGTCTTATGTATGTACATTAAACTTTAAAAACCTTATTTGGCCGCTTCTATATAGCTAATAGTGCTGAAAGTGGCATTAAACACCAACAATCAATCAATCATTTTACCAAAAGAAAAACCAATGAATTATACCAATGAAGTCACATATACCAAAGTTGTGTCTGGTATTTTGGGGTTAAGTTATTGATTTAGAATATCGTAAAAACTTAAGTATGCATGCTTTAAAAGTAATTGACATGCTCTACTTGTCCTTAAATTCAATGTCTTGTTGTATCAGGATAATATCCTACAACAGATTGTTTGATTTTTAAATGTAAAGTGGTCAATTTATAACTCGAAATTGATTACTTTCAAAACTTTGTACTAACTTACGTTAAAGTTTGTGTATATTATGTACATAACTTTAAAACATGTACATATTCCTACCCTATATATATGTCCCTTTAATCCTGATGTGATATTTATTTGATGTATAAAAGGTATAGATTTTATAATTCTACAAATAAAGTTCAGACGTTTATGTATGTCAGGTACATATATATGCAATGGTTATTTATAATGTATCCTAGTTTCAGTGTTGTTTCTATTTATAAACGTGTCATTTTAATGGAGCTTTTTTTTTTGTTTCTTGTTAAAATTTGAATGAAGTCATGTCTGCCTGATAGTGCCTTTCTTTTTGTAGAAGAGTTAGGTTATGAATTATGTATTTAGTTCACTTATTTCTGTCAACTGACTAAGGTATGATTTGAGAAATAAAACAGTAAACTATGGAAGAAAGTACACTTAGAAAATGTACCAGCTCAAATTTTTCTATGGTGCAAGTATAAACTGATTTTCTGATTTTTTCAAGTTTTAAACTAATTTAGAAAATTCTTTGTTTTCAGTAAAATAAGGTTAAACTTTGTGCCATAATAACTCTGTCTCCAACACATTACTTTGGATTTCAACTACAACATGAAATATCATTTAATCTGATGGTTTGTTTCTAGTCACTTTCAAATGTCAATCAATTCATACAAATCTCAGTTATGTACAGAAATGAAATTCATTACAAAAACATGCTAAAAATAATCAGCACTATCAAATCTTTCAATTCTTCAGCAATACAAATTTTAAAGTGGAATGATTGAAATTTTTTTTCGATATAACTATTCAATATGTCAGGGTTTTTTTTTTATTGCCAATAAGTTTGTATGAAATCTGTCCTATAATTTTGATAACTATTATTGTAGAAAGAGAGTAATTGATATTATGCTCACATGATCTATGGTTGTTTTTTTTTTTTTTTAGAAGGTTGTGTTAAATTTGTCTGACTTTTTTGTTGTTACTTTTTAAGTTTCTTTCTGTGCGAGGTTGTGTAAAACAATGATCTAGATAACGACCTTTTATGTAGTTAATTTTATCAGATATTCCCTCTTTTCACTTTTTTCATTTGTTTTGTTTCTGCCATAGATTCATTGGTGCATGAAATAAAAATAAATGCCTGTGTTATGTAGTCTTACTTTTATGCAGCCATAATAATGTACCAAAGATGAGAAGAAACAAAATATGTCCCTTGTGGTCAAAACAATGGCTTTTTTATTAGGCTATAAAAAGTTGCTGAGGAGGCAAGATTCAGGCATTCTGTTGTGACTGTGTCAACAGCAACTTCAACAATTTGTTATAGTTTGCGATTATTATTAAGTCAATTGAATAAGAAACACGAATGGTAAGTCAGTGATATTTGGTATGTAGAAGTATTAGCATTGGCACATCTCAATTTCATGAAGATTAAATGGTCCCACCCTCTCAGTCATTGTTAATTTATCTGAACCTTTTACATGGTCTACATGTTAAAGTTTGTGATTATCTGATATGTTCCCAATATGTCCTTCAATCATATGTTGAATGGTAATGCCTAGTAAGTCCTCTTGGTTCGTAGGTTAGTAATTTTAAACATTTATTTCACAGTAGCTATAGATTGAAATATTGAGTCTTTTCTAACTTTTGAATCATTGACCAACCAAGATAATTGGTCTTGTGGTGAAAACCTCTTCATATTAAGGTTATGTGGTAAAAGATCAGAAGATTTCAAAGTTAAATATCAGCAGCTTTGTTATCTGAATATCTAGTGAAAGGTGTAAATCTTCACAAAACCTAGGTGTATAATACAATTCAAGAAGTGAAAAAATGAATTATCCGTCGGGTTTCAAACAAAATTATAAAAGTTGGATATACCATGTGCTAATGGTTAAGAAATTCTCTGTATTTTATACCCCTTATGGGTAAGACCACTAGATCAAAGTATTAGTATGTATAAACAAATGGAAATGGTAGAGAAAAATGCATGCCAGATAAATTCTCTCAAATTATACATTTAGTGGCCGAGTGGTCTAAGTACTGTAAATAAAGAAATTATTGCGAATTTTGTAGAATGGACTTAAATGCGAGATTAATTATTGCGATTTCAGGAAAAATGCATACAGTTTTATGTATCCGATATAAGAATGTGAGCTCTTATTATTGCGATACTCATTCAGTCGCAGTATTCGCATAAATAAAAACCTTGCAATAATTTCTGAATTTACAGTAGTTTATCTACAGTGATTACTGTCAACTTGTTTGTGATTTCAAACACAGCTTGTGGCGAGGTATGTTCGACTCCATTCTGAATTGATAACGATTGCCAGTTTTCCTGCTACATGTATAGGCCTTGGTTCTATCGAGGATATCTGGGGCTTCCTCCACCAATAAAACTGGTTGCCATGATATCAGTAGCCAAAGTGACTGATAGTGTTGTTAAGCACCTACAAACAAACAATCAAATCATACACATTCAGTGATATTAAACTTTGACTAAAACTGCCTTCAACAATAAGTAATCGTTGCCTGGGTTCTTGGGTCACTGCTCAACAGCAGACGTACTGATGTGAAGAGGAAGTTTGGCCAGGATGCCAGGCTAATGGTAATCATTGAAAGTTCCCAGTGTAATGAGACCAGAGACATATAATACACTTGTATTATATGTCTCCGATGAAACTTGCTACTACTTCCAAGTCTACTGTATTGTCCTATTTCTCTGCTTTTCAACCCGACTTGTGCACCGTTGTTCTCCGGCCCGAATCCAGCCATTTTGAAAAGGGAGTTCCAACCTGCGGAATACCATGAAGCGTTCACATAATTAAAAAAAAAGGGGGGTTCCAACTCCTGGAACCCCCTCCCCCTAAATCCGCCAATAGTACTGGAGTTTTGTAACTACTTCACAACAAGGATATTCATTAAAATGTTTATTACTAGATTGATAACATACAAATATTTCCTTAAAGATAACTAAGGAACAGGTTTGGTACTAACAAGGATCTTACTATACAAATCCTTGGTACTAAATGACCCATAATAATTAACTAAGAATAAGAACAATAGATGGCTCCTAATGACATTCGAGGATTTCTTTAATGAGAAAAAACGTAATCAGTTTTAGAGAATGGAACAGATATTAAATCCATTAATCTTCAACAATTATTATAAATCCAAATTTCATACATGATTTTTGAAGTTTTAAAGATAATTAACAATTAATTATAAGAAAAGGTCTGGCATATCCCGTGGGGGGAACCTATTATTGACTAACAGGTTTAAGAAAGTCAATTAAGAATGTAAATATACATGGTTGAGGAATGGTGACCGAACCAAACTGTTTTTTGAGATAATAAGCGATTTCAGTGGCGGATCCAGGGGTGGACGGGGGGGGGGGGGGGGGGGGGGGGGGGGTCGCGGGGTTGGAACCCCTCTTTTTTTTGACGATCAATGCATTTGAATGGGGACATATAATTGGAACCCCCCCCCCCTTCTTTATCCTGAGTTAGGAACCCCCCCCCCCCCCCCCTTTTATAAATGGCTAGATCCGCCCCTGGATTTGTTATATGAGTTATACTCCACTGTCCCACTGGAGGGGGGATTTGAACGCACGCAAACATGGTTAACACCGCCACATCCTGTACTAGTCTGTCCTGTAATTCAGTGGTTTATCATTTGTTATTGTTTGTCATATTTGTTTTTCGTTTATTAAAGGATTCGTATAGTAATACCATATAAATTCTTGGTTTATTGTTTTGCACATAAATCAGACCGTTAGTTTTCCCGTTTGAATTATTTTAAATTCATCATGTCAGAGCCTTTTAAAGCTTGCTATGCTCTTTGTGGTATGGGTTTTGCGCATTGTTGAAGGCCGTACTAAGACATGTAAATTAATTGACAACTTCTATGTAATTTGGTATCTGATGGAAAGGTAGGTCATTGGCAATCATACCACATCTTATTTATAAATTGTCACGAAATCATACTATATTGTGAAGAAAGTACCAGAGACATATAATGATGTATTATATGTCTCTTAGAGTACTTATCCTGTTATTGTTGAAGGTCAGTACATTAACTTCATTTTCGTTATCATAATCTGGGACTATTATACCAGAGTCTGATTATACTATTATATTAATATAATAGTCCCAGTCATAATTTAATATTTTTTTTAAATTAACTGAAGACTTTTATTCTAATATTTTTAAAGATTTATAGAACCGAAACGGACTATATCAAAGTATTTGGAAGATATTCGAATATAATTTGATATATTTTTTAAATAAAACTGTTAATTCCCTAAAATTCATAAAAGCTGTTACAATGTAAAGTTATAAATGAAAAACGTCTATTCGTATCTATATGTTTGTTTAACGAGATTAAATGCCGACTTAATCGTTAAAAATCTTTGTTGTGTGTCAGGTCTTGTATTTTAAAATATTATGATGTACAACAGAATGACATGATACATGTGACACCTTGGAACTTGTTTGGGGCATTCTGTGTAACATGTTTTCTTTTTAATTTCTCATTGAAACAATGCTATTACACCCATATCGATATAATTAATCCTATATTCCTTTTAGCATTAGCGTGGTGTCATAATACTGGGATGTAATTAAATTAATTCTTTAAGCAAACATACTTAATTGTATGACATACAAAACAGACTATTCTTGAAAGACAACAATAATTTAGCAGAGATGATAATTAGCTGAACTGTTATTTCTCATTAATCGACTTTCTCACTTGGAGACCAGACATAAAAGAAGCCACCGACATAACGTTTGATTGAATAAGAATAAGAATAAGAATTTCATTAGTTTAAAATCCAAACAATAGGATTGTTACACTTGATTGTGTTATAGAGTTACACACATATAAAAGGTAAAAGAAACATCCTGTGTTGTTACAGATATTTCCGGATAAAATACTCAAAGCTAATGGATTCATACACAGCCGTACAAAACCTTTCTGAACTTGTTGATATCTCAAGTTTCTCAACGGAACAGCAAACAATGTCTGATATGTTGTACAATCCTGTGTTCGGTATAATTTGTTCCTCTTCGTACGACCGAGTAACTAGGAGCTCTGAACGTCTAGAAGCTTACTTTGACGAATTAAAATCGGAATATCCAGAGGTAGAGCAACTATCAGAACATTACCATAAAGTGACCGCTCAAATAGAAATGGACAAGTTATCTGCGGTAATAAGTTCTCCAGTGATTCATCACAGCAGATTGAACAATCATTTCAACCAACAACGTCAGCAACTGATGACGTACTACACAGAACGCCTTGCTGATATCGGAAACCAGAAAGCAAAGACCGACGTTAATAAAGACGTCAACTGGATAGCAGTAAAACTGATGAAAGAGTGGTTTGACAAGAACGAACATAGTCCTTATCCAACGAAAAAAGACGTTAACCACATTTCAATGGTTGGTAATATAACTGATAAGGACATAGAGACTTGGTTCATGTTTGAAAGGATCCGTCGTTCTTCTGTGAAGAAATGACTTGTCGTGATTACTTTTTTTCAATTGACAATGAAGAATTTTAAGTGAAATCAGAGACATATATGTCTCTGGTGAAATATACAGTAATCTAAAGAAATGTATTGCCAGTTCTCACAGGTGACGATGAAGATTTCATAATGGAATATACAGTGATTGAAAGAAGTGTATTTCCAATTCAAAATTGAGAGATATCCGTATAATCAGAGACACATAATACAATTATATCATATGTTTCTGGTATAATTATTGAGGCTATATGACATTTGAGGAAGCTTCAGGCATGCATCATGTAATGTAAAGAGTCTGTCAATGTTGGGGCATAAAACTGAAGTAGAGAATGTTGATGTAAAGCTTGTGAAAAGGTTAGGTATTTCAAGGTATTGTTGTACCCTCTGTTTTGTTTATGCGTTAACCGGAGATGTGGATAAACTTAAACTTTCATAGTGCTTTTTGTATTTTTGTATCGAGTTGTTTTATAGTTTTAGTGCTTTTATTGTTCAGCTATAGAAGTATAATTTTAGATTTCTTAAAGTAAGTAAGAACTCTGTTTTATTTTGAAGTAGGATAAACAATCAGACAATCCTCTCTTTGTTTATTGTGTGTGTATTTATCATTTTAAAATAAAGTTTTTGTGAATAAATCATTTCATTTGTCTTATCAAAATAATATATAGTTTTAGATCGCTGATTATTTTTGAAAGAAGCCTTAAAGAATACAAATATTAGAAGAAAAAAAACATTTTGTGCGATTTCTTTTGTAATACTTTAACCACAGACAACTTTAATCAGGGACTTAATTTATAGGTCCCAGTTCAATGAACTGGCAAAAAGGGAGACGTTTATTATCTATTATTATTATCATTATATACGCCAGAGACATAGATATGAGACATATATATTATTAATTCGTATTTTTAACTAATTTGATTCGTTCAGAGATAATCACATGTTAAACTTTATTTTCGAAGGTAGAGAGAAAACGGCTGAAAGCAAAAAGCATATTGCACAGCAAAAAGCATATTGCACGGTTATTTTTAGAATATCTAAAAACCGATATACTTTGTGACGTCATGTAATGAATTTCATGATATTGTTAAAAGTTTTATGAAAAAATATCTATGATCGATTATTTGAAGAAAAAAAATCTTCATATACATAAGATGTAAAAAAAAATGAAATAACAACTTATATGTTGTTATTGTTTAGGAGACAATATGATATCTATAAAATTCCAACAAAATCAAAAAATTAAATCAGGATTTTGATACAAATATGGTCGGAAATTAATAATATAACAATTATAGCCTATTGATGAGGTCAATACAGGATATATAGACCCAAAGAAGTATATCGACCTCGGACTTCGTCCTCAGTCAATATACTTCTTTCAGGTCAATATATCCTTTTATCGACCCCATACAAAGGCTATACTTGTATAATGTTTCTGTATACGCCAATAGAATTTCTGAGGTTTCTAATAAAGGTTATCAAGGAGTTTGTATACTAATCCTCGATGATATTCTTAAATTGTGCTTAGACAGCAATTTATTCACTAGTCGAGTTCATTTTCTGTTATTATCTCTTTGGTGATTGTTCTGTTATTGTATAATGTATATCGTCTTGCTCCGCCTCGTCACACAATACAGAACCATCTTGTTTATTTCTCCACATGTACCCACTACCGAAATATTTAAATGTGAAATATCTTTTATATTAACAAGTTCAAACTGGGACTATTATACTAAAATATTCAAATAACCAAAGATTTTTAAACTATTTTAAATATTTTATACTATGTAGAACAATTAAATTAACTCAAATAATTTCTAAACAGTATGCGTGTATACAATATTTTTAAACTAACTTGACCACTCTCAACAGATAAATATATATATATGTCTGACTCTCTGCCGTACATGTATATATGTCTCTGCTCCCAACCACTCTTTTAACACCTGTTATTATTTAAACCAAACCTTTTACAACTCTAAAACGTATTCCATGTACTGATCATGAATGAAATGTATAACATTCAGAAGTCTCGATGAAAGATCGTTAAGCGTATTAAGTTTTGACCATCTACCCTTTGATGTGATTGACCACGACATAACTATATTTCCAATTTGATTGAAATACAAATACTGCGCTCGAGAAACACGAAAGGTCTTTTAAACAGCATGTTAGCCGGTAGCGTGGACACAGAATATGTCTTTTAATCAGATTGCTATATTTCTGTCTTTCATTCGAGACAGACAAGTTTTCGTACAAAAATCGTGTTTACTTGTACTACTAGTATTTGTGACTGGTCAAACAGGAACACATATTAAGTTCGTTACAGCAAGGAGGTCTCGTACAAACTCCTTGGTTACAGTATCATTGATTGGTCAACTGACAACATGGGTAAGTCTTGAAAATACATACGGCCCACCAACATATATGTAATCCAAAATATAAAAATAAGAATATGTGATATGATTGCCAATGAGACAACTCTCCACCAGAGACTAAAGACGTAGAAATAAGCAATGGTCTTGATAAAACATACGCCAGGTTTGGCAAAAAACCCCGAGTTTTATGAGTATTGCTCAGCCCAGTGAGAAAAACTGGAAAAACCTCGGTTTTTACCTGGTAACACTGGACAATAATGGATAATATGAAATACTGGCCTCGAAGTCAAAGAGGATTCAGTGATTCATCACAATAGCAATACTTAAAAGATATGTTACCATATGATGGGCTTTAATATATATATATATATATATATATATATATATATATATATATATAAGTATATGTTACAGTAAATGAGCATAATTAGGGATTATGTATAATCACTGGTAATTTTTGTCAAAATTTCAGGAATTATGCATGATCACCAGAAAAAATGTCAGGGATTATACATAATAACTGGAATTAAGAGACAATGAATAAAAGTTAAATAATTTATTCTGTAAAATCATATTTAAACATTTTTAGAAACATACATATTAAATTTGTAAGCACAATATTCTTATAAAATTCATATTTTCACAAACTACATTGTAAATTTGGATGACATCTACTAAGAAGGTCTGGAAAGGGGGTCCTTCATTTCTTTATTCTTTCATTTTTATACCCTTCTTCTCTATTTTGCCTATTATTCTCTTTTCATATTTTAACATCCCATTATTCTCTATTCTTTTAACTTTTTTGTCTACTTTTCTTTTTTCTTTATTTTTTGTAGTCCTTTATTTTGTAATCTTTGCTCATTATTTTCTATTTGTAAAGCCCATCTAGACCCTCGGAGTACTATTGAACATTTGCTCAGCTGTGGTTGTTTTTTTGTTGTTGTTGCAACAACAACAACAAAAAAACTTAACCATCGCATACTAATCAAAGTGTTTAAATAAATAAAAATATATAATCTTTATTTCAAGAGGATAATCCCATTAGTTTAAACTAATCTTCCTGAGACTCCTCAAAATAATAATAACATATATAGAAAGTACGTATCATATTATAATGATATATACACAATATACAATTTTAACTAGACATTAATCTGCCTTCTTCATGAAAAAATTGTAACATTTTGTTTTAAAAGATACAAGTGAATTACTCATCTTTATTTCATTTGGCAAACTGCTCCATATTTGAGAACCGGAATATATAAAAGTTTTCTTCAAACAGCTGAACGTAAATTATAATTATGATTATCAGTAAAAGAAAAGTTTTCTCGTAAATAGTTAGGGAATATTAAGACAAGAGACAGGCAAAATTTCAACCACTCAAGACTCAACCGAAAGGAAACAAAAAGGGTAAAGGACAGGCATGATTTCAAATTACATACTTGTGACTCGTGGAAAAACAATGTTAAACACCATTTTTTGATTTGCATATACCAAATTCTGTACGTAAGTCAGATTATATTCAGAGGTAGGATTTCGCTTGTTCCAAGTTTTCAAAAAGATATAACATTTTAAATTTGTAATGTGATAAATGTTGTAGTGAACAATGTACATGTGATACTTATAATATATTAAGATTAATTGGGGAAAATATCAAAATATGTATGTATTATTATTCAAAGTTGCTTTAGACTTGTCAAATTTTTTAAAATACATTTTTACATCTAAACATCTGAAGGTGCTAATAATGTCAGTCAGACAACGAAAGCGGATCGAGAAGCAGCAAATACCAATTTCAAAGTCTTTTTGGGTTTGACCAGGCCGGGGTTCGAACCCACGACCTTCCGCACGCGAGGCGAACATGCTACATTGAATAAAAGAATACGGGAAAATATCCATCAGGAAAATAATAAAAATAGATCTAGGAAAGCTGTTTTATTGAAGAGTTAAAATTACATGTAAATACGTACAAGTAAAAATAGGCACACGTATAAATGCATGCCATATGCTGACACTTTATACTAATCATTAATAAACTGGACACACGCAAGTTCTACAGCTATCAATTGTCCAGCATGGTCAAAACATGTCAATTTAAGTCAGCTTGATAGATATTTATCTGTGAATCTCGGTCGAATCAAAACTATTATTGTCAAACTAATAGAAATTTTGATAAACTGTTATTTTCTATTAACTATGATTGTATAATATAAACTTATGTTTGTGCATATATAATATATCATGGGGCATCGTATCAGACGGACTTAAATAAACTGTTGTATTGACTATCTTGCTTCGTTACAGATATAAATAAGTCATAATACCGGTATTATAATTTGCAAGTTCACTTGTTTGAAACTCTTATTATCATGTGTATAAATCTGAGAGAAAGTATTGGTCCAGCAAATCTATACACAAATGTTAAAATCTTTCTAAATAATCCTCCTAAAAATCTATAAAATTGCCATTCTGTGCAAATTGATCAAACTGTGAGTATGAAGCCAAAGAATTAAATTTCTTTTTTTTAAATATATATATATATATATATATTCAGAATAAACAATTAATTTTATGTAAGGAAATGGCTTTTCAATATTTGTTTATCTTTGCTTAA